CGGGCGGCTTTGAATTTTATTTTAATCGATTTGGCTGAAAATCAAAGTTATTGTTTGTGTAATTATCGTGGCATGAAATAGTTAATCGCCCGCTGGCGTCAGTGCAAAATTTTTAGTCGCATTGGCGACCAGGAAAGCGCAATTTCGGACCCTGGACAAGAATCCTCACCTCGTCCTCTTCGTGGTTCTGTAAAGCATACGTGACTAATGTTCTGCAACAAAAACAAAACGCACAAAGTAGATTAGTTAAATAAAAGGCCAGAACTAAAAGCTTTGATAAAAACTCTTTTCCCCTCGCACCCATACTATCGAAGCATGCAGGCTAAGTATAAAAAGATCGTAATATTTCACTTTTTACTTAAGTGATGACCACCAATATGGAGATGATAACTCATAATTTCAAAACTTCTCACGCGGACTGACCAAATTTTTACTATCAATGAGAGCCCAGACATATCAACTTGCCCGCGCTCTCACATCGAGACTTTGTTCTTCAAAAAAGCCTTTTTTGACGAACAAAGTTGTCGGACAACACGTTATTCAGTTTCTTGAGTGCGACTTAATACAGTCATTGTCAAAATAACTCCCGAATTCAGGAGGGCCTGGCTTCAATTTACTGATTAGTAAAGTAGCGCTGAAAATCCCACCACATTACATGTACAATACAGCCTCATTTATCCGGCCAACGACGGGCCGCAAAAACACTCTGCCCGTATTAACGGCCAAAAAGCTTTCGTCGCAGGGGCCGTAATAAAATGGCCATAATAACGAAGTGACCGTATTAAGGGGCTGGCCGTAAGGCTAGGTTCCGCTATAGTTTACATAAGTCTTCTTTGTAGCCTTAACTGGAAGGTCACGCAACATTATGGGAAGAAATGTGTTGTGTGACGACCCAAATAACGGTCACGATGGACTCTAGGTGATATCGATTTGTACCCCGAGTCGTCGACATTTAACAGTTTGCTCCTCAGCTCGTTTATGGTAGATATGTCCTTCGTGTCCTGCGCAGTGGCACGAATCCTGGGCTTGAGCTTCACGGGGGGTCTGTCAACAGGTACAGCCACGTAAACAGGTGAATGGCGTCCGGTCACTAGAGTAGGATTGTTACTTGTGAAACGAGGGGTGTCCACCAATGTAGAACTGGGCTTCGTTAAAGGGTTGAATCTGTCAATTGCGCTTGGCCTCTGAAAAAATAATTTAATATCAGTTGCTTATTAGCACAGGTTCTTAGACATTCTGCTCGTCGTATTTTCTTTGGTGTTGAAGTCTGAAACAATTTCTTTTACTGTCGTAGCTGCTAGCATTCTCTTCAAGTTGACTTCAACGCAGAAGTTTTCCAACTGATCAATTAAAGCCGAGACCACGATCAACCAATTCACTTGGTTTTTGAAACGTTTTATTGCTGTGATTTGTAATCTACTTTCGTAATGTAACAATTCCATAAATGTCTATAATCAAAAACCTCTGAGAGCTACTGCGAACTAACATCATACAATGTTTCAAAAAATAAGCTGATAATATGAAGAAAGTAAACTGTTTTTTAAAGAACTCGAACAATCAGGTTAAAGTTAATTAACATACAGAAAGGAATGAATATCTCACTAACCAAACCAGTAGGATTCCTGTTTAGTGGCGCCTGTCCATTGCCGGTGTATTTCTTCATGGGTCTGGGCCCCACAAGTGGCGCGGGTTGCACGTGATTGTCCGGTGTACTAAGCTCTGTAGTCGCGGGCAGCCTCGGAGACTGGAACTGAGTAGTATTTGTTGGTTCGAGCTCTTGAACTGAATTTAAATAGGCTTCGTGTAAGAGTCATCAAAACGCAATAGGCCATTTCCGAGTTGCCTTTTGCTTCGGTGTCAAAACGAGTCTTATGCAAAACCATTCATATGAAAATGCATTCTTTACAGGTTCATTTTGATGCAAATCAAACTCATTTTCGTACGAAAGGTTTTGCACGAGTACTCGCTTTGAAACAGAGGCACAAGGTAACTCGAAAATGGCCGATTGCGAAGCGATTTAGCGCAAAGAATCGTCATCAACGACATCTTACACACAATGAGTTGAAAAAAATACCATGGTCTAACACGATTCGGCCCACTCTGCTGGCGATACACACAGTGTCATATTCTCAACATACGCAGTTTCGTTGGAAACAACTTACCGAAAATACTACTATTCTTGTATGAAAAAGCAATATAACGAGTGATTTAGGTACATGCAGAAAGAAATTCAGCAGTTATTCCATACTTTCTCGTTTGCTGGACGGACACGCCATTTGTTCCTCTGTTTGTTGCCAGTTTGTACGTTCAGCAGCCGCCGCGGACACCGTTTTCTTTCGCGTGGAGTTCTTTTGACTGACTTTCTTGATTTTCCTTTCTTCCAGGGACATCTGGGAAAAAGACTTCTTCAGTTCTTGCTCTTTCACAGGTTTCGGTTCATACAAACGCGCCTAGAAAATCCAGCATAACAGCAAGTTAAACATGTTTAAAACATATCTTTTACTGAGGAACGACGCAAACCGTGTATCTAAAATTTCTCTCTACATTTCAAATAGTTTAAACCACATTCCAGAAATGAAAAGAGAAAGATGGAATTGGTTTACATGAATGTGTTTTAATTTATTTTCTTTACTTTCTTAGCCTAAAATCAAACTCATTTATGATTCAACAAGTTAAACAAAGCAAATGATGACCGTGAAGGCGTCTGGATAGCTGACCTTCATTAGCATAGATTTTTATGATTATATTTCTCCGTTTTCTCCTTAGTTTTAGTTTCGATTGAGAGACTGATATATCAAACACTCAAGACAGTGCTTGACTACATTTCTCAACACCTCGAGACTCCGCCATACGTCGTATTTTCAACCGTCTTCTCGGTGTTTCGAAATGTGATCACACACGGACTTTCGTGTTTGATATATCACAGGAAACGCTGCAATTATACCAACTTTCCGTTGGACGAGTCTGCTAATTTCATTTCTGTACATATCATAGCTGGCTATCTTTCCAGTGAGTGACCTAGCAGCAAAAAACCTTCGCTTACCTTAGTACTGGACAAACAGTCTCCTTTAGGCTGCCACGGAAAGTACGGGTATGGTTGAACGGGGGTCCTGGGTTTGAGTGAAGGAGCTGGCTGGACCTCAGTCTCCTGTCCGATTATCCCGGCCGCCTTGTAGCGGTTGTTGTACATGGTGATTTTTCGCGCCAATTCCAGAGCTGAGCTGATTCGCTTTTCGTTTCGACTTCGGGGAGCCGGAGATGTACACTCTACGAATTAAAATAAATCACTTTTAATCAAACAGAACGTAACAGGGAAGTTTATGAGATGCTTCACTAGTAGAGTGTAGAAAAGATATACAGCACCTTGGCTTTTCTCTTCCTTTTTGTATTTTGAAATCTTTTCTGCCTGGTGCAGTATTGGAATACCCTAAACTGCCGCTTATGAGACCGTCCCCCCCGGGTTACAGGCCCATCTACTTGTTAACCACAACATAACTCCGGTTATAAGCCTTCCTCTAGCTCTCCTTGTTTTGAGATGTTCTAAAGCTTAATCACTAGGAAATCAAAAATCTATTTCGACCAACATGTGCAGCTGTAGCTCGTTTCAAAACCATTTTTTTTATTCCGGTTATAAGCCCCCTCGGATATAAGCCCCTCCGTTTATAAGCCCATCTCAAAGCCCTTACGAAGTTGTCAAAGCCTAGGGTCTAAGCCTTGGTTGTCTAAGCCTAGGCTACAGTTTACGGTATAAAGAAACTGTTGACTTCACGACACAAGCTGATCGAAAACAAATCTTAAGGATCTCCCAAAATGAGACAAACCAATGACCTTCTGCAAACTTGGCATATGCTCCACGCTACTACTGAGTTTACAGAATTGACAAAAAGGAAAAATGCTGTTTCTAAAAACATACTACCTACCAGCACTTCTTTCCAGCTGCTTGGCCAAATAAGACACCGTGAAGTGTCCCTCTTCCTCGCTTATTTCAAAGCCTTGAGGTTGCGGAGGACTGGTGACGGACCAGCGACTCAAGCTAACGAAAGAAACAAAGCAAACAGTTAACGAAACACCTTTATAATATCTGTGTATCTAAACAGCGTATACCGTGATAGTTACTTAGCTGTGGGTATCGCTAATGAGCAGCTTAAAAGTTTCTGTAGCAGTAATAATTAAGTCTATTTTCATTGTATAGTTTTTCTTCCCTTGCCATTTCACAGATTGTGTAGGCTAGTTCTGGCGGTTACGAACTCCAGACTATAAACTTACTTGCCAGTCCTTTCAGGCGAAGACGCTTCCTTCAAGTAAGTAGTACCATCAGTGTAACGAAAATGAGGAACCTCTGTTGAGACAGCACCAGAGGAAAACACGAAACAACAATGTACGTGCAAAACGAACAAGATCCTATTATTTTGTACCACACGGTATATTCACATCAAAGCTAGGAAATTTTGAAAAACGTCCCAGCATACAAAAGTAACACTAAAACGCAAGAAACATCGAATTAATAACAGAAAAGCAGCAAAAAGAACAGTGAACTTCAGTGAAGATGTTACGCTGTACGAAACTCGAGAAGCACCATTTGTGACGCAGCTTCTTCAAAACGCTTTTGCATTACGACTCCAAGGGAGATATCCAAACAAAATACCTTTAGACTCGGTGACCAGCACTCCACTCATCATGTAGGCGTTGGTCACGGCTTCCAGGTACTCATGCTAAAAAAAAAACCAGTAAAGTTCTGTAATTAAAGTAGCATATTGACAGCCCGGGGGCACTTTCGTATAGAAAGGACGGGGGTGCTCGTAGTACTTTTTAGGGGTTAGAAAAGCAGGTTTGTAACCTCTTAGAGTCTTCAGCCTCAACAGGTCCACAGCAGGAGCTTTTGCAGTAACTTTTAGGGTGTTGAGCCGAAAAATACGACAAGAAATAATGTGTTAAAAGACAATTTGTACCTCTTCGGGGAGAAAAAAATTTCAAGCCACGCCCACAAAGCAGGAGCTTGGTACCTCTTAGTGATNGAATAAGATATTTCTACAATGCACCTAAATGTGCGCGTGACTTACTAAAAACACTGGCATGCCTATTTACATGTAGTTAACTACGATCTTCGTGACATCTCTTGTTTTCTTTTATGGTTAGGTTTAAGCGGGGTTTAAGGAAGAAGACGATACCAACATTGGTAGTAATACAAATAATCGAACATTAAATGTAAGCATTCCTGATCTGTCTTACCATTTTGAGTCCTTCAGGAGCATAAATAAGATGCATGGGCAGACCATCTGACACAGAGCTGTCCGAGCCACCAGTGCTGAAGAAATGATGCAGAAAATGTACTCAGTTATAAACATCCTTGTGGGAGGCACGGTGGCCTCAGGGTTAGTGCGCTCGTCTCTGGATCGAGCAGACTGGGTTCAAGCCTTGGGCAAGACACTTTACTCTCACAGTGCCTCTCTCCGCCCTGGTGTATAAATGACTACCGGCGAATTTAATGCTGGGGGTAACCCTGCGACTCCTAGTCGCTTCATGCCACTGAAACCAGAGATAAGCACCGGCCTGATGGACCACTTGGCTCGAATTCAGAATATACAACATCCTTCCTTAGTAATTAGTATAGGTAATCGTATGAACGCGAGTACAATTAAGAATTTACAATCTGCAAGTGGTATTTGAAAATTCTCTCAAAATTGCGGAAGACTTTAGGCTTGAAGTTATCTTTCAGACATATATTAAGTCGGGAAAACTAAAGAACCAAACTTAACAGGCGTTGAGTTACCTCTGTAGAACCGTAGCATTATAATTTACCTTGATTCGATGTCAGAAGTGTAATTGAGGTCCAGATCTATGTCAGACTCGGTCAGGTTGGGCGCTGCGATGCCTCTACGTTTCATCTTTTCTAAGATCTCTGCCTTCATTTTCAACTCCAGCTCGCTTAAGATGGAAACATACTGTGGATAACACAAAATAGCTTAAAATACCGTGAATGGGCTCCTTTAATCATTGTTCTTGTTAATGCTTAGGTGACCACTAAATAGTCTTCTATGAATGATGGAAAAGATTCATGTCCCAAAGATTTGATGTGTTGCGTTGCATTGTATTGCGTTCCGTTTCGTTCAAACTGATCACAGGCAAGTAGGACCAGTGAGTTCTCAGTACGAGTTTCTCAACCATAAAATACAACTGGTCAAAGAAAACGCAGCTTGCGAAGCAAGCGTTCCCGTACGAAGAGCTTTTTCTGTATTCTGGCCGCGCGCCAACTGGAGCGGGAGCAAAAGAGGGCGACAAAGCAGGTTGTGGAAATTTGGAGAAATCTCTTCGCACCGGAACGCTTGCTATGGAGGCTACAAAAAAAGCAAAATCAAACTACCTTGGAATCATCAGGATCGCAGTAATCAAGCAGCGTATCACATAAGTGATATCCCATGGACTCAAAGTCTGCTGTGTTAAAATGATATCCGGCCCGTTTACCCAGCGATGAGCCACAGAAGGTTGCCTGGTGAAAGAGAAAGAAGAGGGACTCGTGAAAACATGCCTAGATCGTAGAAATACAAAAAAATTGAAATTGCTTCTTTTTCAGAGCACACAACTTAGAAAATGACAGGGAGCGTTTAGGAAGTAAAGACTCTCTAGAGTTGGATGAAACGACAACATCAACATACATTTATAACAATTTTAGACATATAAACAAACAGCTAAATGAGAGAAAAGATTTCACACAACTTGCAGTTGGCATTAGCTAGCTGAAGTGGAAAAATGACCAAGGAAAACATCAAACTTAAAAGTGAAAAGCAACGCAACATTTATTCTATCAAGTCTTTGCGACCGTTCTTGTCAGTAGAGCTTGGTGTATACAAAGGAAAGCATTCCTCTTATGAGGCCCTATGAGGGGTTTTCGAGATAAATGCCATATATATATGGTAAAAAAAATCCAACGGGATACAGGATATTTGGGGGCGGGGAATTAATTAGACATGGGACACTCACAAACCCCCCTTCCCGTCTCCCACCCTCTACTGGGGCCTTTTTGATCTGCCTATAACGTTTTGACCTCCATACCTCCATCGTGAAACTGTTCAAGATTCCCATGTTCCACATTACAATTCGACCTGTGCCTTCCTGTGAGTAACAAATAAATAGCGAGTTGTCAAAAATTGCAAAGAATTAAACTAAATTGATCAACTGCCATCATTTACAAACCTTGCTCTTTTGCACCTTGAATTTGCAGCCTCTAAATGAAAACTGTGAGAAGAAAAAAAGACATTTTTTGTTTAATTATAACAATCAAGTTTACTATTTTAGAAGTAGAAAACTACCGTTTCCCCGCCACGTGCTGCATCCGCAAGGTTTCCGTCAGATTATTTTCCCCCGAAAAAACTTCGGGTCGACTGTACGTACGGTTGTTTTCTTTTTGAACGAAGCGTCCTTGTAACTTGATTAATCTTAAATGACATTCTTTGTTTAGTAACTCAATGGTTTTTCACAAAATGTTGAACAAAGATGAAAAGACTCCAACATACACAATATTTACCACTGTACCTTGCTTGGCGCGTTTTTAGAAATCATCACGGGAAAGACTCTTTCCCTCAATCGTTTCAGAGGGTCAAATCGATTTTCACAGCCATAAATGAAAACATTCTGCTTGCGACTATGCCCATGGAGATCACAATATAGCGTTATGTCTCGTTCCTCCAATAATCTGCATTTGAAAGAAACGTTGAAAGAAAGGCTGAGCGATGCAAGAACCAGATAAGACAAGAGACACTCAAGGGGCGTGAGCTGAACAAGATTTTCTTCAGCGCCAATGGACTACTATCATACATGTAAGTCCATCGACAAACAGGCTTTTGAGTGAGAGAAAGTTGACATCATTTCATTGTGAAACGTGAGTGAACGTTTTTCGTACCGGTCAAGTGAAAGCTTTTGTCGACCCGTCTTGTTTTCTCGAACTCGTGGCGCAAAGTAGTTTGTCTGGAAATTCTACGTCAAACAATTTCTGAGAACTTTGATTTTCGAAAGGTGCTCCTGTTGAAATTTGAGGGAGGTAGATTTGTTGAGAAAAGCACAATCACGCTTTTCAGTTTTTGACGTAATTATCTCTAGATTTTTTCGCAATCTAACAACAAAAACTTTTAACCATTTAATATAGCGAAAAAACGACTATTTTAAAACATATTATCACAAGTACTCTTAACCGTAAACCGCCAGATAATTAATGTGAATGTATCCGCAAACCGGCACTCAAAATTGGCTTGAACCGCCAAACCAAGGCCAGAGTATAATAGACCCTCATAAAAGTTACTCACTTTCGAACCATATTCCTAACATGCCAGATGGGAGGGAATGAATCCTTGAGCACTGTCTTGTAGTTCCTGTTCAGATCTCTGCCAGCCAGTGAACAGCGATAGTTACCAACAATAACTCCGTCTGGGTTTAACATGGGAACAATCTTGAAAATGAACGTGTCTCGCAGAAGCTGTAAATAAAAAAAAACATTAACATTATCATACTTTACGAGACTTTTTGTAATCTGATCTGTTTTTTGTTTTTTGTTTTTTTTTTTCTGAATTTTCGTCGGCCTCTGTCCACCTTTATCAGAGTTACGATATCAATGAAAGTTCGTTATTGCTCGTTTTCTTTCTGGATTTTTTTTTTTTTCTCCGATCGCAACACTGGAAGCAGAATTTTTAGTCATTGTGATTTTGAGATTACCCCTTCTCAAATTCAAAGGAAATCATGGCCGTGTCGGTGTTTGGATATCTGATCTTAACACGCATACAGTACATGAAGATTTTTACGATTTTATTTCTCCATTTTCACCTTAGTTCTAGTTTCAAATGAGAGGATACTCCAAATGCTCTGAAAAACAGTGTATGACCACATTTCCGAACCTCGAAGTTAGTCAAAAATACTCCGCTGCGCATCGTATTTTGAACTCTCTTCTCGGTGTTTGGAATTGTGTTCAAACACGGTCTTTCGTGTTTGATATATTACTTGCTGTGCAACAGAGTACATTTATTTAACAGAAAGTAGTGAAACCTTTGCATCAGGAGCATTGCTTGTGAGATAATCTAAAAGGCCTTTCATCATCCAACTTGAGTTTGTCTCGCCGGGATGAACCCTTGCAGTTAAAACCACTCCTTGTTTAGCCTGTCAATAACAAGAACCCAACGTTAAAATACATGTACAGTACTACACTTTGAAAAAGCGTCAGAGTAGCCTGTGAGCAGGCTCTTTGCGTGGCAAGAACCTGCTTGCAAACAGCCTGTTTGCAGGCTAGTGACAGAGGGCTAAAACAGACTGGGATTAAATAAACTGCAACTTATCTGAAAAAAGACTACAACTTGTATTTACATGCAGATTTGACAGCTTGAATTGCTACAAATGTACCTCGGCATCAGCTGGTCGTCTTGATGGGTTGGTCACTGTCAGTGCATAAACAAAGTTCCCAGCAAGAGTTCGGCATAACACTCTCTGTTTGCAAATTCTGGACCGCACAGGGTCATTCCTCAAGGTTTGAAGATATTCCTGGGGCATGAAAATAATGTGTAACACATTGTGATAGCTGTGACTTGCTCAAGACAGCCATTAATTACTTTGTACATAAATAATCTATTATGCTGGTAAATGACATAGGTTTAAACATGCAAAAAGAAAAGTTCTGACTAACATGTTCAAAATATGTTGTTTTCTATTACTTATAATTAGTGCTTGTCTCAATGCAAGACTCTAAAGTGTTCATCAATAACCAATATAACAGCCGACCATCTCGCTACAGATGGTAACACATACAATNGCACCAGAGGAAAACACGAAACAACAATGTACGTGCAAAACGAACAAGATCCTATTATTTTGTACCACACGGTATATTCACATCAAAGCTAGGAAATTTTGAAAAACGTCCCAGCATACAAAAGTAACACTAAAACGCAAGAAACATCGAATTAATAACAGAAAAGCAGCAAAAAGAACAGTGAACTTCAGTGAAGATGTTACGCTGTACGAAACTCGAGAAGCACCATTTGTGACGCAGCTTCTTCAAAACGCTTTTGCATTACGACTCCAAGGGAGATATCCAAACAAAATACCTTTAGACTCGGTGACCAGCACTCCACTCATCATGTAGGCGTTGGTCACGGCTTCCAGGTACTCATGCTAAAAAAAAAACCAGTAAAGTTCTGTAATTAAAGTAGCATATTGACAGCCCGGGGGCACTTTCGTATAGAAAGGACGGGGGTGCTCGTAGTACTTTTTAGGGGTTAGAAAAGCAGGTTTGTAACCTCTTAGAGTCTTCAGCCTCAACAGGTCCACAGCAGGAGCTTTTGCAGTAACTTTTAGGGTGTTGAGCCGAAAAATACGACAAGAAATAATGTGTTAAAAGACAATTTGTACCTCTTCGGGGAGAAAAAAATTTCAAGCCACGCCCACAAAGCAGGAGCTTGGTACCTCTTAGTGATNCTTTAAATCGTATCAAATACATGTATCTTTAACATGAAAAGCAGACCATTTTGATGTTTATGTAATATCTTTTTGGTTAGTAGTAGATTCGCAGGTAGAGACAGAGACGTTCACCCTGACCGTCTTGTGATCAATAGCCGTACTGAATTTCCTAGCTGTGTTGGTTTTAAAACTACGGAATACAATAAAATAATCACCTTGGGATGATGTTTCTGATACATTAACTTCACTTCAGTTGGCGGATCTTGGTGTTGCTAGAATGGTAAAAGAAGAGTGTCACGTTAGAACTGTAAAACAATTGTAAAGTAACACTCATCCGTAATCTGCGGCGGAGTGTACTTCTTGCGACAAGTCTTACCGTTTTAAACGCAAACTGCAAGAAAGCTTGCCAATGTGCTATAGAGTTGGGCAGCTACCTGAAATTTCGATCAATTCGACCACTGAAGTACTAGCAGTTTTATCTGTCCAACATTGACCTGGAGGAGAGCGGGATAGGAATACATGCGAGATATTCGCTTGTCTCAACTAGCATTTTTCCAAAGTCGCAGAACTGTTCTCAAACTCATTAATAATTCATCAAGTTAAAAAAAAAAAGAAAATCATATCCATCACGGGGTTTGGATATCTGATCTTAATTAGCACAGATTTTTATGATTTTACTTCTCCGTTTCTCCATAGTTTTAGTTTCGATTGAGAAGATATATCAAACACTCAAGACAGTGTTTGACCATATTTCCAAACACCTCGAAATTCGTCAAAAATACTCCGCTGTGCGTCGTATTTTCAACTCTCTTCTCGGTGTTTGGAAATGTGGTAAAATACGGTCTTTCGTGTTTGATATATTATTTCAAAGGCACACGCGAATCTCGTTACACAATGTCATGTTCCTTACCGCGGATCGAGTGGCAATATCGGCCAGTAACACATCCTTGACTTTCATGGCCTTTGCGCGTCGCTTGTTTCGTTCTTTCCTCGACTTGAGCTTTTTCTTCCTTGGCTCCTGGTCAGAAAACTATTTCATTTACAACATAATATGATACAAAGACAGAATCAGCGCAGAGATCATTCCAGCTTGACAGAAGAAATATCGTCAGAAAAGTTAGATCCCGTACGAAAATGTATTAATTGATTAAAAGCATAGCTAAATATCGGCTAAGGTCAAAACAGGGGTTCGCTAGATTTCTCCTTCGCTGATAATCGAGTCTGAAATAGTTATACAGATGATGAAACATGAGAAAATTTGAATTTAAAAGAAAAATCATTTTATGTTGAATAAGATATTTCTACAAAGCACCTAAATGTGCGCGTGACTTACTAAAAACACTGGCATGCCTATTTACATGTAGTTAACTACGATCTTCGTGACATCTCTTGTTTTCTTTTATGGTTAGGTTTAAGCGGGGTTTAAGGAAGAAGACGATACCAACATTGGTAGTAATACAAATAATCGAACATTAAATGTAAGCATTCCTGATCTGTCTTACCATTTTGAGTCCTTCAGGAGCATAAATAAGATGCATGGGCAGACCATCTGACACAGAGCTGTCCGAGCCACCAGTGCTGAAGAAATGATGCAGAAAATGTACTCAGTTATAAACATCCTTGTGGGAGGCACGGTGGCCTCAGGGTTAGTGCGCTCGTCTCTGGATAGAGCAGACTGGGTTCAAGCCTTGGGCAAGACACTTTACTCTCACAGTGCCTCTCTCCGCCCTGGTGTATAAATGACTACCGGCGAATTTAATGTTTGGGGTAACCCTGCGACTCCTAGTCGCTTCATGCCACTGAAACCAGAGATAAGCACCGGCCTGATGGACCACTTGGCTCGAATTCAGAATATACAACATCCTTCCTTAGTAATTAGTATAGGTAATCGTATGAACGCGAGTACAATTAAGAATTTACAATCTGCAAGTGATATTTGAAAATTCTCTCAAAATTGCGGAAGACTTTAGGCTTGAAGTTATCTTTCAGACATATATTAAGTCGGGAAAACTAAAGAACCAAACTTAACAGGCGTTGAGTTACCTCTGTAGAACCGTAGCATTATAATTTACCTTGATTCGATGTCAGAAGTGTAATTGAGGTCCAGATCTATGTCAGACTCGGTCAGGTTGGGCGCTGCGATGCCTCTACGTTTCATCTTTTCTAAGATCTCTGCCTTCATTTTCAACTCCAGCTCGCTTAAGATGGAAACATACTGTGGATAACACAAAATAGCTTAAAATACCGTGAATGGGCTCCTTTAATCATTGTTCTTGTTAATGCTTAGGTGACCACTAAATAGTCTTCTATGAATGATGGAAAAGATTCATGTCCCAAAGATTTGATGTGTTGCGTTGCATTGTATTGCGTTCCGTTTCGTTCAAACTGATCACAGGCAAGTAGGACCAGTGAGTTCTCAGTACGAGTTTCTCAACCATAAAATACAACTGGTCAAAGAAAACGCAGCTTGCGAAGCAAGCGTTCCCGTACGAAGAGCTTTTTCTGTATTCTGGCCGCGCGCCAACTGGAGCGGGAGCAAAAGAGGGCGACAAAGCAGGTTGTGGAAATTTGGAGAAATCTCTTCGCACCGGAACGCTTGCTATGGAGGCTACAAAAAAAGCAAAATCAAACTACCTTGGAATCATCAGGATCGCAGTAATCAAGCAGCGTATCACATAAGTGATATCCCATGGACTCAAAGTCTGCTGTGTTAAAATGATATCCGGCCCGTTTACCCAGCGATGAGCCGCAAAAGGTTGCCTGGTGAAAGAGAAAGAAGAGGGACTCGTAAAAACATGCCTAGATCGTAGAAATACAAAAGAATTGAAATTGCTTCTTTTTCAGAGCACACAACTTAGAAAATGACAGGAAGCGATTAGGAAGTAAAGACTCTCTAGAGCTGGATGAAACGACAACATCAACATACATTTACAACAATTTTAGACATATAAACAAACAGCTAAATTAGAGAAAAGATTTCACACAACTTGCAGTTGGCATTACCTAGCTGAAGTGGAAAAATGACCAAGGAAAACATCAAACTTAAAAGTGAAAAGCAACGCAAAATTTACTCTATCAAGTCTTTGCGGTCGTTTTTGTCAGTAGAGCTTGGTGTATACAAAGGAAAGCATTCCTCTTATGAGGCCCTATGAGGGGTTTTCGAGATAAATGCCATATATATATGGTAAAAAAAATCCAACGGGATACAGGATATTTGGGGGCGGGGAATTAATTAGACATGGGACACTCACAAACCCCCCTTCCCGTCTCCCACCCTCTACTGGGGCCTTTTTGATCTGCCTATAACGTTTTGACCTCCATACCTCCATCGTGAAACTGTTCAAGATTCCCATGTTCCACATTACAATTCGACCTGTGCCTTCCTGTGAGTAACAAATAAATAGCGAGTTGTCAAAAATTGCAAAGAATTAAACTAAATTGATCAACTGCCATCATTTACAAACCTTGCTCTTTTGCACCTTGAATTTGCAGCCTCTAAATGAAAACTGTGAGAAGAAAAAAAGACATTTTTTGTTTAATTATAACAATCAAGTTTACTATTTTAGAAGTAGAAAACTACCGTTTCCCCGCCACGTGCTGCATCCGCAAGGTTTCCGTCAGATTATTTTCCCCCGAAAAAACTTCGGGTCGACTGTACGTACGGTTGTTTTCTTTTTGAACGAAGCGTCCTTGTAACTTGATTAATCTTAAATGACATTCTTTGTTTAGTAACTCAATGGTTTTTCACAAAATGTTGAACAAAGATGAAAAGACTCCAACATACACAATATTTACCACTGTACCTTGCTTGGCGCGTTTTTAGAAATCATCACGGGAAAGACTCTTTCCCTCAATCGTTTCAGAGGGTCAAATCGATTTTCACAGCCATAAATGAAAACATTCTGCTTGCGACTATGCCCATGGAGATCACAATATAGCGTTATGTCTCGTTCCTCCAATAATCTGCATTTGAAAGAAACGTTGAAAGAAAGGCTGAGCGATGCAAGAACCAGATAAGACAAGAGACACTCAAGGGGCGTGAGCTGAACAAGATTTTCTTCAGCGCCAATGGACTACTATCATACATGTAAGTCCATCGACAAACAGGCTTTTGAGTGAGAGAAAGTTGACATCATTTCATTGTGAAACGTGAGTGAACGTTTTTCGTACCGGTCAAGTGAAAGCTTTTGTCGACCCGTCTTGTTTTCTCGAACTCGTGGCGCAAAGTAGTTTGTCTGGAAATTCTACGTCAAACAATTTCTGAGAACTTTGATTTTCGAAAGGTGCTCCTGTTGAAATTTGAGGGAGGTAGATTTGTTGAGAAAAGCACAATCACGCTTTTCAGTTTTTGACGTAATTATCTCTAGATTTTTTCGCAATCTAACAACAAAAACTTTTAACCATTTAATATAGCGAAAAAACGACTATTTTAAAACATATTATCACAAGTACTCTTAACCGTAAACCGCCAGATAATTAATGTGAATGTATCCGCAAACCGGCACTCAAAATTGGCTTGAACCGCCAAACCAAGGCCAGAGTATAATAGACCCTCATAAAAGTTACTCACTTTCGAACCATATTCCTAACATGCCAGATGGGAGGGAATGAATCCTTGAGCACTGTCTTGTAGTTCCTGTTCAGATCTCTGCCAGCCAGTGAACAGCGATAGTTACCAACAATAACTCCGTCTGGGTTTAACATGGGAACAATCTTGAAAATGAACGTGTCTCGCAGAAGCTGTAAATAAAAAAAAACATTAACATTATCATACTTTACGAGACTTTTTGTAATCTGATCTGTTTTTTGTTTTTTGTTTTTTTTTTTCTGAATTTTCGTCGGCCTCTGTCCACCTTTATCAGAGTTACGATATCAATGAAAGTTCGTTATTGCTCGTTTTCTTTCTGGATTTTTTTTTTCTCCGATCGCAACACTGGAAGCAGAATTTTTAGTCATTGTGATTTTGAGATTACCCCTTCTCAAATTCAAAGGAAATCATGGCCGTGTCGGTGTTTGGATATCTAATCTTAACACGCATACAGTACATGAAGATTTTTACGATTTTATTTCTCCATTTTCACCTTAGTTCTAGTTTCAAATGAGAGGATACTCCAAATGCTCTGAAAAACAGTGTATGACCACATTTCCGAACCTCGAAGTTAGTCAAAAATACTCCGCTGCGCATCGTATTTTGAACTCTCTTCTCGGTGTTTGGAATTGTGTTCAAACACGGTCTTTCGTGTTTGATATATTACTTCCTGTGCAACAGAGTACATTTATTTAACAGAAAGTAGTGAAACCTTTGCATCAGGAGCATTGCTTGTGAGATAATCTAAAAGGCCTTTCATCATCCAACTTGAGTTTGTCTCACCAGGATGAACCCTTGCAGTTAAAACCACTCCTTGTTTAGCCTGTCAATAACAAGAACCCAACGTTAAAATACATGTACAGTAATACACTTTGAAAAAGCGTCAGAGTAGCATGTGAGCAGGCTCTTTGCGTGGCAAGAACCTGCTTGCAAAAAGCCTGTTTGCAGGCTAGTGACAGAGGGCTAAAACAGACTGGGATTAAATAAACTGCAACTTATCTGAAAAAAGACTACAACTTGTATTTAAATGCAGATTTGACAGCTTGAATTGCTACAAATGTACCTCAGCATCAGCTGGTCGTCTTGATGGGTTGGTCACTGTCAGTGCATAAACAAAGTTCCCAGCAAGAGTTCGGCATAACACTCTCTGTTTGCAAATTCTGGACCGCACAGGGTCATTCCTCAAGGTTTGAAGATATTCCTGGGGCATGAAAATAATGTGTAACACATTGTGATAGCTGTGACTTGCTCAAGACAGCCATTAATTACTTTGTACATAAATAATCTATTATGCTGGTAAATGACATAGGTTTAAACATGCAAAAAGAAAAGTTCTGACTAACATGTTCAAAATATGTTGTTTTCTATTACTTATAATTAGTGCTTGTCTCAATGCAAGACTCTAAAGTGTTCATCAATAACCAATATAACAGCCGACCATCTCGCTACAGATGGTAACACATACAATCATCTGGTCTAATGGTCTGTTGAAATCTTGCCGTATAAGCAGTGCAAATGTTGCAATTTTATACATCTCGAGTTTGTAACTTGGTTGTGAGACAACAATAAAACTGGTAGCTTAATACTGTTTTAAGACATCATATTGTAGACAGCTCTGGTACAGCTGTAAGTATATTCTTAAATTCAAAGCTTGATGTACCTGTAAATCAGAGTAGGTGTACGGATAGCAATGGGCAAAATAATATGTGTCATCCTTGTTAGGAAACTCACAGGTCCAGGTTAACGAGTAATGGTATTTGTCTTTTGCTGTATCTTCACGCCTTAAATGACAAGAAACACTTTATGCATTAACAATTTGCAGGAAGGCTACAAAAGACTCCCACAACTGGAAATTTGTGATGCCTGAGATTTCTATTCTTAAAAAGAGTCCGACATTTAATTTCTATTGGTCAGTGCACTGGACTTTGGTGTGAGCCAAAAAAAAAAATTAAGAATCTAGCAGGGGACACTGGGTTTTTTAGTGCCCTCTTCACTCAGGTGTATAAATAGGCAACAATGAATTGCTGGGGTAAGGTAACAAAGTAGCATTCTATGGAGGGGTAGGGATATACAATGTAGCTAAGGGCCGACTACCAGCTATTTTCTCCAGCTGAAAGAGAACATATTTGGCTGAAATTTCACACAAAAACAGACTTGGGAAAACTATGCAGCTACCATGCAAGGCCAGAAAAACCTG